TGCATAATATATACATGATAATTGGTAATATTATGCTGGTCTATACAATACAATATTATGAATTATAGTGCGCTTGCATCGGCCAGTCCCTTATGCTGTTCTTAATCGTTCATATAAATTAGAAACTAGAAAGACACATTCACTCTTCATGTGATTTACTTAAAAAAAAATAGATTAACTTTTTTTAAACTGAGTTAAGTTGATTTTTTTTTCTATATTAACTTTTAACTTATCGAGTTAAGTTTATAATTTGTTAACTGTTAACTTTTAACTTATCGATCTTGTGTCCTCTTAACTTAACTTAACTTGAGTTAATTATTTTCATTAACTTGCCCACCTTTGCTATTTCCTAAAAGTGAAATGAATTACTTTAATCATAGTAACATCATCAAAATATCAAATATACTAAGTAATATCATAGGCTGACAGACCGTCTACGCTCAGAATAGTTTTTCATACACAATGATTTTATATCATTGAATTCAAATTCAACATCATTCATTAAAGTGAATCCACTTGGCACTTGTGACCTACTGTACAACAGAGCGACATCGCCTTACACGCTTTTTGAATGAATAACAAACATGATTTTTTTTTTAAACAATATACTAACTATAATCTATATTGTTATCACCGGTGTCATAATACTATGTAGGCAAGGTGTACTTTTAAGTACACTTTGTTTATATTTAATATAATAATATATTAACCATAAGGTATATCCACAGATAAACATTTAATATATTACCTGAGATAATTCTTTTGTTCACGTTTTTACAAGTTGTAATTAGGTTTAACAATATGTAAATTAAAGTAAATCATCAATTAGATATTTTTAGTCTTGATCATAAAATCAAAACGCTTATTTTTTTTTTATAATTTTAAATTAATGCATTTATTATAGTATTTAATATAGGGTTCCTAATATTCTTCTGGACGATACAAAATCAACAAAACATCGTTACGCTTACGATAGATTTGACTAGTATAAATTATTTTTGTAACTAGAAAATTATTTTCACTTATTGATCACTACGCACTAGCTAAGCTACCTTGAAGCATCTACGTGCGCATCGTGTTCTATACGTTCCCAGTATTAATTGTTGTATCGTTGTACGCTGTTAAGTCATATAATAAAATATGTCTACCGTAGATTCTAACATTTCTAACGACACCGTAAGCTGGAGTTAACGGAAGGCGAAAATATGGAGAGTACATTTGAAAAGCTGAGATCGGCAAAGTTCAACATTCCAACTAAATTTTCGACACGGATTGGAACTAGGCCGACGTTGAAAAGATACGAGTCTACGCCGAACGTGGCCACGACTACTTGTCATCAACCAGCCACAGCAGGAGACTCCGAAGTCTACCACCGATGTTTGTCCGCTCCGGCCGAGCTGCCCTGCAAGCCTTTTGAGCTTTCTGACGTGCTGACACAAAACGGACCCCCATTCAGTTCATCGGACCTCGAGATGTACGTTCCAAAGGACGCTGGATCCAACGCGTCGCTGCAGGAAAATGGTGATGTGAGTTCGATAGATACGCCGAAAGGAGTTAACACGTTATTGTGTACGTCCGTGCAGTCGGCGCCCGAACTACCAGCAACATCGCTCAAAGTTCCGGGAGCAAGCGAATTTGAAGAATTTTCAGTGCAGAGTCAATGGTTATCAGATCCATATACATATAACTTTTGGACTGGTGGACCACCCGAAACGGGAAACAGAATGCAGTGACGGCAACGAGCAGGAGTTGGTCAGTGACCCGATAAATCCTAAACGCCGTCGCTCAATATGGAGCCGGACGCAGAAATTCGTCAGGCACATGTTTTACTGCGCCGTTTAGAGGGTGACCGCAACCACTTAGTTGCTGAATGAAGTAATTCATTATTACCGAAATAATTAGAAAACAATTTTTGTTCATGAACTTGATTTACATAAATAAACTTGCAGCTTTCTTATGCTACTTGTCTAGTTGGTTTTTAATTGAAATAGTATTATATTATAATCAAACGCATCAACATTCAACACCCTAGCGTAAAATTAATTTATGTAGCTAGTGAAAATCGTAACTATATTATAAATCTCTAACCTCTATAACATTGTACCAAAAAAATTCTTGAACAAAATAAATACGTTTTTGTATTCAAATTGATATTCAAATAGATTTCCAAATAATTAGGTTCTTTACAGTTATATCTTATATTACTAAAAATGTCCGTCGGTCCTAGGCACAGTGCCTGTAGTGCCAATGCCCTAATACGGCCCTGAATACGACGAACAACAGATAAACCAATTTAAATTTATAAGTAGCTATTGATAACAAATCAAGAGACTATAACATTATGTTTTACAAAATGTTACAGTGCGCATTCCAAAACCATGTTTACGAGAGACTCACAGTGGTCAGTGTGGCGGTGTCTCTCAAGTCTCAATACACTCTCGAAATATAATATTATGATAATGAATAATTTTTTAACGATTAAAACTAGTTACATATTCAATGGGTAAAATTAAAAAAAACTGTGTAAGAGCCATCAATAATTAAAATAAAATACAAGCATTCAGGTGACAGAAAATACTCCATATTATATAAATGTATAATACCTCATTATTAAATTAAATACATTACTGAGCTATTATTATGTTATAATAATTTACTGTTGCGCGATATTCTATGTGGTTATAACTGTAAAAATAAGCAAAATGGTTAAGATAAATTTATATTTTATGAAAACACAGTGAAAAGTTAACGTTTATACAACTATGAACATTATAATTTCAACATAAATTCATGGTTCAATAGAAGTTTGCATGCTATGTGGAGCCGTCGAGTAAGCCACACCCGTAATGCTATTTGGTATATTAATATCATATAAAATATAGTATTATTGACTGCATTATATTAAAATATTAAATTATATGTGAATACCATTTACATTTATATCGTACAGTGTATTTGATCAAATTCTCAAATACACGACCTCGAGAGCCCTCCGACGATCAGGAGGAATTCCGCGACAGTTCATCGCGCATCAATTTATCGCGCGTAAAATCATCGCCGACGTTTTATCGCATGCTGAATAATCGTGCGGTATCTTATCGCGAGTATTTCGGATTTCCTCGTGGTTATTTCATCGTGAACACAACGTCGCTCGTTTAATTTCATCGTGCTTCACTTTATCGCAAGATTATCATCGCATTCGCATTATACGCCAAATCAAATACGATGTGCAATTCCACGGGATATTATAAAACTAACTATAATATAATAAAAATAAAAAAAACTCGATATCATTATGGAAAATTACTTATAGGAAGATTACAATTCATTACTTCGGTAGGTATAGATCAGACTATCAGAGTTGTACATGTACGTATAATTATAGTGACAGCGTATTTTATTTGTTCATCTTCGTCAACTCGTCTTAATAAACAAATATTCAAATATATTTTAAGTAAGTACATAATTATATAATTTTTAACTAATTTTATCAACCCCTATATTTTTTGTATGAAAATTATAATTTATTAAAATTTAAAATCAGTCGAATAATCATAATTGGGTGTGAATTAAATGCACTAAAACATCTTAAAAATGTCAAAAAAAATAAATAAAATATGCTTATATGCATTTAAAATGAAAAAAATACAAAATAAAATACCAACGATTATAGTATAAAATGCACTTGAAATAGTTTTTAATTTAATTTTTATATTGATATATTATACGATATTATACATTAGTACATTTGGTAGTACATAGGTAATACATTGGTTATTAATGTGGCTGTGAATTTAATACACTAAAATACCTTAAAAATGTAAAAAAAAAAATACAATTGAATATGCACTAAAATGCAAAAATTATATACCTATAAAATGTACTTAAAATAATTTTAATTGAATAATATTTTGACTTTTTTTGAGTTATTTATAGACCACTGAAATTTTGGATTTTTATGAGAATTTTTTTTTGAAGTGTCGATAAATAATTTTGGATGACCAAAAACACTTGAAAATTTAATACAAGGTTTCTTATGAGTTAGGTTAGGTTAGGTTTTTATAAGCGTTTATAGTTCAAATTTTTACGATATCTGTCTGTAGAAACGCGAAATTTTGCAAGTAATTTTGAAGTTGAAAAATCATAAAATTGTTTGTGCTAATAACCAAGGATTAAAAATACAACACTAAGTTTTCCTTCAAGTATCTATAGAGAAAAAACTCGAAGCATCATTATAGGAAAAATTTTAAGTGCGTTTGAATTTTAAATTTTTACGATATAGCGTAATGATAACGATTTATTCTCAAACGATTTTAAATATTTGTTAAATTTTGCATAAGAAGCTAAGAGTTAAGCGGTTAAAGGAGAAAAAATGTGCAACTACACGATTATTACATTTTACATGCATAAAAATGTGTTTATTTTGTAAAAAAAAAAACACTTAAATGTGGATTAAATTTGAATTTCACGAAGTTAAGTTAAGTTAATTTAATTATTAATGATAGGTATGGAGTTGGAGTTTGTCAAAAATAAGAAAGGAAAGGATCAACTTATTTATCGCGGTTTTATTTACAACAAAGAGAGAGAATTGAAAAATAAGACTTATTGGAAATGTATAGAATATTACACAACGAGATGCAAAAGTCGTATTCATACAGCTATGAGTCAAGTAGTGAGGGACCACACACATTTCCAACATAACCATGAAGTAAGGGGCTGTCAAATTGGAGCGGCACGTGTGATGTCAAAAACCAGGGAGGCTACAATTAAGTCAAATGATAAGCCTCAACAAATCCTTGCAGTAGCATCACTTGGAATTTCAGATTCCGCACAAGCAGCACTGCCATCAGATCGTGCTATTGCTAAAACTACACAACGGATCAGAAAAACTATAAATAAAGCTCCCACAACACCATCATCATTAGCAGAACTGATTATTCAACAACCATATTCAGAAACAGTAAACGGAGAAAAATGTCTTTAATTTGATAGTGGAGAAGATGATGCGAATCGTTTTTTTTATTTTCTCTACAGCTAGAAACTTAGATACATTGGCACAATCGGATCATTGGTTTTGTGATGGAACTTTCAAGTCAACTCCTCCACTATTTACACAAGTACTTACCATTCACTCAATGCAGGATGGATCAGTGCTTCCAATGGTTTATGTGTTGGTACCAAATAAACAAAGGTCTACTTATAATCGAATTTTGACACAACTTATTGATTTAAAAAGAGAACTGAAACCAGTATCAGTAATGACAGATTACGAAACTGCGTTGTATTCTGCATTCCAATCGGCTTTTCCCGGAGTTCGAATTCGTGGCTGCTTCTACCACTTTGGCCAATGCTTTTGGAGAAGAATTCAGCAAGAACCAGATATTCAAGCTAAATATCGAGACGATACTGATCCAGATTTTCAAATACACTTAAAAACCTTAATATCTCTCGCTTTTGTTCCAGTACCAGACGTCATCGAAAAATTTATGGAATTATTGGAAACTTCTTTCTTCAAGGATAATGAAAATTTGCTAAGTCCATTAGTGAACTACTTCGAAGACACCTGGATAGGTCGTCCAAATCGTCGTGGTACAGAACAAAGTGCTCCTCTTTTTCCTTTGGATATGTGGAACCAATACCAAGGGTCAAGGGACATTGGAAAAACTTCCAAAAACCAATAATTATATTGAAGGTTGGCATAAGAAATTTTCTTCTTTGATGGATTGTTACCACCCGAGTATTTGGAAATTTTTGGACAAAATAAAGGAATCCCAAAGTTTAATGGAAATGACGCAAACACAATTAACCGCTGGTCGACTTCCACGGATTGGGCAGAAAACATACCGCGACACTGCAGAAAGAATTATTAGGATTGTAGATGACTATGGAAATAAACCAATCTGGTTCTATTTAAAAGGATTGGCCTTCAATTTTGATGTCCAAAAACATTGAATATTTTTATTATTATTTATTTTAAATTTAATTTTTAGTGATATTTAGAATTGTATAATATTTTAATTTTAATTAATTGGATTTTTTACCTACCTATATTTATTGTTTTATATTTTTAAAACTTACCCTACAAATGAAGTACTCCAAGTATAGTTTATTCTTTGCAGAGGTCACTATTGGTATTTCTTAAAATAGGTAGTATTTAAAAAAAAAAATCATGAACATTTTAGGTTTGTTAGCTAGGTACACATGAATTTATTAGACCAATTTGAATTAGTTATGCCAAAAAAGTTGTTAAATTAAGTACCTAAATAGCGTAGGTGCAAATGGAAGGGGGCTAGGGGGCTTAGCCCCCCCCTAATAATTGCTATATCCCCCCCAAAACAAATGATTTTACTACATGATACACATTATAAATTACAATGTAATTTCGAAAGAAATATCACCTAACGAATGATTAAATTTGAAAAATGATAATCGAATTTCGATTGATGCGTCGAGAACTACGTGATCATGCTAATCTAAAGAATAGTTGGTGGGAAATGTGCAGCACTGATGACTGATGTCTGATAAGAAACGGTCGGCACTTCGGCAGACCTTCACATACTATATTATATCTCAATATCTCATGCACAACGCACACTCATGACACATGTCACATGGTTTTAATTCGTAACGTTTGGGTTTGATTGTTTATTTTTTTCGTTGATCGATATTAGTTTTTCCCAACTTGTTTAAAGTTGTTCAAATAGCAATTACATTGCCTGTAAGTTCAGCCACTTCTGAGAGGTCATTTTTCACAATGCGAAGAATAAACACCTACTTAAGATCTACTATGTCCCAAAAGCGGTTTAGCAATGTAAGCATACTTAATATTGAAAAAGATATTGTTGTTGACGTGGAAGAGATTCTAAATACTTTTAGTAAAACCGAAAGGAGAATTAAATTATTATAATGAGCCTTACTATAAGAATAATAAAAAAAATTGATGTCAAAAAAATACTAATAACATATATATATATATGTACCTAATACCTATATATGTTTATGTTTATTTGTAATTCATGTTGCTGCAGCAAGGTAAATTGTTTTAGTGGTTTTGTAATAATTTAAAAGCATCATAAGAGTATTTAGTATCCTGAACTGAGCTACGACTTCAGCCCCCCCCCCCCAGATTTCAAAAACTATTTGCGCCTATGCTAAATAGTAAGTCATGTGACATCCCACATCGTACGACCATACTTATATAGTAACACATGATCCAAGTGATACGCATTTCTAATAACATTAAGATGTAATTATTAATGCTGAAATGCTGAATACGGTTTAATGCTTTCAATTATATGTTCAACAACAATTATTCGTAATATTTTTTGTTTTAAAGGCAGTTTCCAAAACGTACATAAATTAAAATCAGTAGTAAATTTTTTTAAACTTATAAGCCATATAACAGTTAAAAATTGCATTTACTTGTTAAAATCTGTATACATTTTATGTTTAAGGTAGTAGGTACATTAGTTACACGATATAGATACATAAATAATGGATAAATTATTAAAAAAATGTGATTTTATATCTGTATTAAAAAAAATTATATAGCTGAAATTGAAAATATAAATATATATATTTTTTACTTAAGGTTTGTAGTATTATATTGATGTATGGACTGAAGAATACAATGTTAAGTAAGATAGGACATGTAACATGTTTACTTTGATCATAAGAATCATAAGTCAAATTGTTCATTTGTTTGTGATCCCCAAAAAATTAAATCTGTGGAATCATTAAACAAATATTCGATGAGTTGTTTCTTATCATAATTATAAAAATTAAATCAAATCACTTAATTCTAGTTCAAACATAATAAAAGTCTTAAGTTAGTAAAATCATCTACATCCTATAATATAGAGTTAAGTAAAAAGTAATAACAAAAAATTGTTCGACTTAATTTGTAAAAACAAATTTTTTTTGTGTCAACGAAATTTGAAAATAAAAATGGGAAGAGGGGCATGGGCGCCCGCAGGCAAATGAGTTTAAGCAATCAAATAAACAAAATTATACAAAAAATTGATTAAATTTTAAATTTAAAAATAAAAATGGGAAGGTTGGCATGGGCGCCCGCGGGCAAATGAGTTTTAAGAATCAAAAAAAAAAAAAATTATGAAAAAATCTGATAGAATCAATTTTAAAAATAAAAATGGGAAAGGGGGCATTGGCGCCCGCTGGCAAATGAATTTTAAGAATAAAAATAAAAAATCATACCAAAAAATGTGTATAAAAAATAAACATTAAAGTCTGCAGTCTACAATATCACTATTCCTAAACACATAGTTTTATTTACGATAATAAGCTACTGAAAAAATGAATATTTATGTTTCACCAACTGACCATTAAAAATTAAAAACAAGTTTTGAAATAATTGAACTAGAGTTTATTTTTCAAAAAAAAATGTGAAGGGGCGGCATGGGCTCCCGCGCAGGCAAATTATTTTTAAGAATCAAAAAAAAAAAAATTATTTATAAAATTGATAGGTTTCAAATTTAAAGATAAATTTGGGAAGGGGGCATGGGCGCCAGCGGCCTAAAGAATTTTAAGAATCAAAAAAATAAAATATGAAGAAAAGTGTAGTAAAAACAAATCTTAAAGACTGCAGTTTATAATATCAGTATTCCTAAACTCAATGCTTTGTATACAATAATTCGATCATGAAACAATGAATATTGATAAGGCACTAAGTGGTTATCAAAATTCTTAAAATGTTTTTAAATAATTGAAGTAAGGTACTAACTTGTTTTCAACATTTAAAAAATGGGTTTAAAATATTGAACTATAGTTAAATATAGGCATGGG